ATGATTTTTATTTTGAACTCTTTTTCAGGTAGATTGGTGAGTTCAGTTTCATTTGACCCCTTTTCTGGGGTTTGTGAGATTTTGGTCTGAACCATGTTCTTTTGACGTTTCATATTTCTGTGTGGTGCCCACTAGTGCCCAGAAGCTCCAGTCTCTAGAGGTGCTCAGCCCCTAGAGTGGGGGTTGTAGGGGAGTAAAGCTGGTGCCTGGGGTGAGGAAAGATCTGTTCCCTGAATACCGTCTGTGGTGCCTGTCTCTGGTGTCAGAGCCAGTGGGCCAAGCACACAGGTATAAGCCTCTGTGTTTTGCGTCTCTAGGTGTTATAGGCGGGGCCTCCCTCTGGCTGGCCTGATGCCAGGGCAGTGATTGGCGGTTTGCCAACTGGTGCCAGCAGGCCTGTTTGGTAAGGTCTGCTCTGTTCGTGAGGTCTGTGTGCAGTGTGGTTCAGCCTTCTTTCTTGTTGTTGTTTCAGGGTTAGTTGTGTCACTTAACTACATTTTCATACTATCTGTGGTTTTGGGAGGAATTCTCTGTCTCACCTCTCATGCCGTCATCTTCGATCTTCTGTTTTAAAGTTTTTTAAAAATCTTAACCAGAAACTAAAAAGTGGATTGATTTTGCTGCTTAAATACTAAACAAATTACTGTTGCTTCCGTTTTTTAATTTCAGTTCATTTTATTACTTAGAGTTCATATATGTGTAAAGATTATCTGTTTTTGCCCTTCAAAATCACTCCTTAAAATTTGTTTAAGTAAAACAAGTGGTTTCAGTTACTCTTGCTTTTTTCATCATGAATATTGGTTTTTATCCTGTGTGCATTAGGCCATGTTGCGCTAGATTTATTTGGATTCTTTGGTCCTAGTTTTTAGCGTTTCCTCTTCCATACTGGTTGTTTGTTTTAGGCTGTTTGTTTGCCTGGACTGTTTCTCAAAATACAGTCCATTTTTCAGTTTTTTTCAGTACTGCCTCAGGTGCAGTGCTTTTTGTGATTCTCTATAACTTGTATGATCAGTCTTCAACAAGCTTCCATAGCACTTTGAATCTTTCTTTAAACAGTTAATATATACTCAAGCTCAAAATGTGCTTATAGTCATCCTTTATCTTATGCAGTTAGTTCATTTGATCACTTGTAAGGCTTTTTTGTTTTACATTTTGTAGGAAATGTTTCCTTTATAGAGTTGTAGGGTTTCAGTAAATATTGAAAATTATGTAAGAGGATAAATATTTTGATTTTAGGGATCACTTAACCCAAATACAAAATTGCATTTTATTGTAGAACTAATATTTCTCAAAGTTATATTACTTAACACTTTTCCCTCTAGGTGGCAGCTTCTCACAGTTAATTCAAAGTAATTTGGCTTTTGAGTATCATTAAATGTAAAGAGTTGAGTAGAATCAAAGATTTACTGGATCTTTCAACATGTTTTGAAGTTATATTTTGGATTATTTTGGAAATTTAAGACCTCTTAGGCTGAAGTAAAGTAATATTAAATAAATGTTTCCATTAGACTGTAAATAAATTTCATTGTAGATAGCAAATATGTGCTGTTGCTGGATTATTTATTACTGCAGTGGCAGTATTGAAGCCTTTCAGAAATTAACTTGTTCTGGGTATCTTTTTCTCTATTTGTGGTGATCTTTCATCTCTCCATCCGGTATGAATAAGTGCCGCAGACCCAGGGCCAGCAGGTTACCATCCCTTTTTTTTTTTTCTTTTTAAAATTCTGGACAGCATTTTGATACTTGTTTTTATTCCACTGCCCTTGCTTAAAGTTTGATTGCCTGGGGTCTTACTGGCTTTGAGAAGGTATCGCCTGCATTGTTGATAGTGCCATGAGATGATGATTTGAAATCTACTGGAAAAGGACATGTATTTATTCCTGTCACCAGACTCCTCACACTTAGGGGAAATGATTCTCTCCTCCTAAGGCATACCATGAATGGCTTTTTAGTTACATTTAGCAGTTGTATATTGCAAATACAGTCTTGTTCTTTTTTTTTAATCTTTATATGTGTTAAGTAATAAATAGTACATTATTTTAGTTACTAGAAATTTGGTGAAATGCATTAGTCTTACCAGCTTCGCTATCATTTGATCTATTTAGGATTAATTTCAATTTGTATCTATAAATATTTGAGTGATACTAGATTAAAATCAGATCTTTTAGAAGCTTTAGTTTAAACGTGCCTTAATTTTCTTTATCTTCTAAGCCCTAGTAATAACAGCCTAAAGGGTTATTACTGGTTGGTTTAATCCCTTGTATTTTCTTTATATATTTAGGTCATAGTAATGGGAGCTACTAATCGTCCTCAGGATCTTGACTCGGCTATAATGAGAAGAATGCCTACGAGATTTCATATCAACCAGCCTGTAGGTTTGATTAATATTATAAACAGTAAAAATTCACTTTTTTTACTGTTTCAAGAAGGGAATGATTTTTTACTAGGACTTACTGTTTATGAGAGGAAGGGAAGGAGTATGGCGAGCATCCCTGTAATTGCTTCTTTGTTGTTTCCATTCCCTTCCCTTTCCCTTCCCTCTCTCTCTCTCTCTCTCTCTCTCTCAATGTTGCTTGTCTTCACATTATAGAATTACACAAGTTTGCTTAGCCACTTCAGTGATTTTCTTTAAAATGTAGCAAGTTACCTATGAAAGGGACATAAGAAAATCTAAAATAAAGTGTTGATTTAGCATAAGGTGAATTAGGGGGCTTGGGGTTAAAGAATTGTTCTGTTCAGAAGGCCTGATAGGAAGAACAGTTGGGATTTATTTGATTAGTTATTGGCAGTTGGCTGTTCTTTCTTCTGACAGGATTAATGAGCAGTCATTAAGGTTAGTGAGAATATTTTAACTTAAGAATGGGAATGTTAGGGTGGTGGGGAACCACTACTGTCTTCTTTCTAACATTCTTTTTGTTAGTTAAGAAGTACTCTCAAGTAGGTATTACAACTTAGTGATGCTCTATACTTTTTGCACAAAATCCTCAAATCTTGAATTTTGTCTGCCTTTAAGTAGAAGAAAAAAAAGCAGGATTAGTAATAGAATGTATGTGCCATACAATCAGCATGCTGCACATACAGCTACACAGAACTTGTAGTGTCATTGCTTTCAGTTTTTTAAGTAAAAATATTATAATACCATTTACAATCTCTCCCTAAAAAACATTTGTTCCATTTTATATTCAGCAACTTAGCAGTGTATGGCAATAAACTGATCTCCTAAAACTGATGTTAGTGGCTTCTCTAAAATTACTCTGGTCAGCTGTTTGTCATAGCAGCACCCTCTGGCTCCTCTGAGGCTGTGCATATCCTTAACCACTCTACTAGAAATTTTACCTGGTAAATCAAAGAAGAGATGTTTCAACTTGATGTAGGACACTATAAAACTTACTTGCGATGAATGGAGCATAGTCCCTGTCTTCAAAGAACTGTGTTAGATGAGAGGCAGACACATAAATAAATGATGTAAAATGTACTTTACAAAGGTATGTTTAAAGAACTGTGAGAACCTGAGGTGATGAAAACTAATGATTCTGTCTGAGGAGTTAGTAAAATTTATAGAATCTAGTCGGTCCTTGAAGGATGGTAGGAATTTGGCTTTCCTGCCAGACTGAACAAAGGCAAGAAGGTGTGGAAGCACATATTAATCATGACTGGTAGTTATCAAATCTGTTACAGATTTGTATACTGTTTATATAGAAGCTGGGATTTTTTAACCCCTATTCATTCTGTTTTTAGCAAATATACACACATTTACAGGGAAACTTTTCCTTATTACATAACTGATGTGAAAATGTATGATTTTATTTACCTTAAATAAACTCCTCTCCAAGTTAAATGTTCATTAATATAAAGTAGTTTTGGGGATCACGTAAAATACCTACTTACCCTTCATGCTTAACATGCTTGAATTAGAGAAACAGCAGGGTTTTGTTTTGTTTTTCAGGTCATTTGATTTGATACTCATTGTAACGAGCTCTGTTTTTTCAGTAGTTTTGGGATTAGAAATGAGTTCAGCCATAGTAAGTTTTAAAAGCATTTGATATATATATAAGGGGTTCTATGAGAACTTCTGTACTCTCATGTAATAACATGAAGCATCACTGAGGGAGAAAGCATACAAGCATATAAACAAATACACTATCAACACTAAAAATTCACTAATTTAAATTAGTGAACATGGAAGTTGTATGTTGCAATGAGGGAACTAAGACAGTATTGCTGCTGTCTCTTCAATTACTGGTAAAAATTTTATGGCAATGGTAAATTTTCAGAAGCTTCCTAATGAAGAAAAGGATATTTGTAGAACTGCAGAGGAAAGATATTGGTAGTCGTAGGTGTTTATTTACTCAAGAAACCTTTCAGGGTGTGGATATTGTGTTAGGTGGATTCAGATTAAGAAGATACAGTTCAGTGGGACAACCACAAATTGTTACTGTAGAGTCTAGAATCTAGACCTTGCTTTAGCCAATAGCTTCCGTGACCTCTATCAGAGTTTTTGTCATTTCCTAATGGTACTGTCAGGTAGTTTACAAGGGAAGAAAGGAAGAAAGAAATAGTAGGAAATCTAGTGGATGCTTATTTTGTTTAATGCTAACTGGAAACTATCCTGGTTTTAGGCTCTAAAACAAAGAGAAGCAATCCTAAAACTCATCTTGAAAAATGAAAATGTAAGTAGGAAATTACATTTTTCCTTATCCTATAAATAAGATGTTCATGTTCATAAATTTTAGAAATGTTAAAGGAACCTGAGAATAACATAGCTTTGAACTTGACTTTGAAATTACTGTAAAACTCTTGGTTGCTCATGTAACTCAATAACTATGATATATTTGAACAAATTAAAGCTAATCTTCTTTTTAAGAAGCCATGTGTTTTCACATCTACAGGTGAAATTCATCTGATATTTTCAAACTGTTCTCTGGTTACAGAAGATACATTTCTCTTGTACAGAAGTGTTTTTTTAATTTAATTACAGTATTTTTTGGAGTTAGAATTTAGATTTAAGAAAGTATGATAATCAAAATCTTTAACAGTTTTTATGTTTAAGAGTTTTTCTAAATAGGTAATATGGTCATAGATTTCAAAAATGAAAATACATACATTAAAAGTTACCCAGGGCAAAGTCTCCCTGCCTCCCATGTGCTTCTGTATCTGTTCAGATGGCACTCTGCCTCTACCAGCTAATTAGACTATGTACTGTTAATCCTCTTCCATTTTCTACATAAACATATGTACACTGTTCTGTGCACTGATTTTTCACTTTCCTTTGAGATCTTTTCCATTTTAGCATATAGTTTCTTTATTCTGCTCTTTTTTTTTTTTAAACAGTGCATAGTATTCCATTGCGTGGCTATACCATGATTTACTCAGTGCCATATCAAAGAACGGTCAGGTCATTTCTGGTCTTTCCCTATTACACAAATACTGCATTGAATAACCTTGTACATTTCACAGTTGTGCAGGATATTAGTGGGGTGAGTAGAAGAGTAATTACCAGATCAAAGGGTGATACTATAATTTTGTTAGCTATTGCCAAATTGTCCATGTTGGTTTATTCTTACACCAGCATTATTAAAGTGCCTCTTTTCCTGTAGCCTTGCCAACAGAATGTTATTGAACTTTGTGCTAATATGGTAGAAAATTGTTCCCATTGTAGCTTTATTTTGCATTCTTTAGGGATGAAATGAGCATTATATATTTAAGAAGCACTTTAATTTTTTTTCTGTGAAATACCTTTTCTTATTCTTTGCCCATTTTTCCATTTTATTGTTCTTTTTCTTATAGATTTGTAGAAACTATAATATTAGGGAGATTCTGCCCTTTTTCTGTTTGATTCGAAAATATTTTTTCCTGTTTTTTTTTTAATTCACTGAGAATTTTTTCCCCCTCTTTCTGGCTTCTGGATCTTGGAATCTAAATTTAAAAGGCCCTTTTCACTCCCTTGTTTATAAAGGCATTTTTTGTATTTTCCAAATCTTGCTTCTTGTATTTCAAAACTCTGTAGCCACATATATTAATAACATGGTCTTCCTTGCTGTCCTAAACTTACGACAAACTCACTATTTGAACTTGTTATCCAAACTTAGAAATTAAGTCATCACAGTGACAGACACCTGCATTGTGGTTGTTCCCTCCCTCCTTAAATCTCTACCAATCCCCATGGTTAATCTGCTCCATCCTTAGCCTGTCTGCTCTCCCACCTCCTGTACTTTCCCTTCACATCTCATCTGTAAATAGTTCTAATTTTATCTCTAAAAGGAAAAATTCTTTTCTTTTTTTTTTTTACTTAACTTCTTAGCCATTATTATGCCTAACAAAAGTTGACAATAATTTATTACCATTCAGTGTCCAAGTATCCACTCGTCTTCTAAATGTCATTTTTTTTAATAATGTGTATTTGACTCAGGATCCACAAGTTCATAACTGGCAATTATTTGATAGTTTTTAAATCTTTTTTAATCTATAGTTTATAAATTCTTTCTGTCTTTCTTCCTTTTCCCTCACCCCCTTTCAGTTTATTTGCTGGAAAAAACCAGGTTGCATTTGTCCAGATTTTTCCATAGTCTGGATTTTGCTGATTGTGCAAGGAGCAGTTGTTCCTTTAAAACTGGTGGTTAGATCAATAGACTGTATGAGATTCAAGTTCAGCTTGGCATGAGGGAAGGTGGGACTACTCCTTAGGTAGAATTACATTTTTCCATTAGGAGATACGTATTATATGGATGTCCTTTATCATTTGATGTTTTACTTTTAAATCTTTGCTGTATTTAGTATTTATCCGGATATATAATGTGCAATATCAATAGAACTTTTCCAGATGGATACCCAGTTGTCCCAAAACCATATATTGAATAGGCTGTCTTTTCCTCAGTAGAGATGCCATCTTTATCATGTAATAAATTCTCATATATATTAGCTGTTTCTGGACTTTGCACTCAGGTAATTGGTCTTTCATGTGTTTGTGTACCAGCACCACACTGTTTGAGTTACTGAGGCTTTATAAGTTTTAATGGCAAACAGGGCTAAAAACTACAGTGTACATGAAATATTTTGTGCAATTCCAGGGAATTAGGTTAGCTATGATGTGGCTTGAAATGTAACATATAAGGACATAAGTATTAGATAGTGGTAGTTGCTAACAATTTTGCAGAGACTTTATGTTAACTAATAAAATTATTTAATTTTTGAAAATCTTAATGAAAGATACTATTGCATGGCTGGAATTAATATTTATGAACCATATACATGGCTTAATGTTGTTATAGGTGATGTAGATGGTTTACATATAGGTGATGAATATAAGTGATAAGATTTAAGCTTTTTGTTTTATAAGGTGGCTGTCTTTTACAGAGGCTATTAAGTTTTCCAACTTAAGAAACTACTCATTATGTCTAATTTAAACTGTGGTCTCAGTATTCTTTTTTTAACAGTGTATCTTTGGAAATTCTCTGAGAATTACATTTCTTATGAGTACAGGGAATTTTTAGCATTCTGTCTCTTATTTATGAAAGGAGAAAGGATTAGTTTCTAATCAGTTTTAGGATGCAAAATATGAATTCTCTCTGGATAATTGCTGACATGATTTCCCACTAACTGGCATTTAATGCTGAAGGCACATTGTTACTTGTTTTTCAAAATTCTGCCACCACATATTCTTTGAGAATTACGTTTCTCATGGGTACAGGGAATTTCATTTCTCGTGGGTACAGGAATCTGAAAGAAATTAATTTAATTTTGATAAAAGATGCCTCACAACATTAGTGTACACATTTATAATAAAATGAGCCCCATCATGCTCATACATTGCTGAGCAGAATTAGGGTTTTGATGCAAATAGAGTTACCAGACTTTAATATTTTATCAGTTTTACTTCTCTGAAAAAAAGAATGAAGCTTTTGAAATGATAAGTTATCTGGTCTTCCACAATTTTTATTGATAGGTCCTAACATAACTCACTTAAAAAAGGACTGTAGTGGCTTTGGCTTAAAGTTTTAAGTATAAAAAGAATTAGAACTAATAAAATGTATACCTTACATAAGTGTCACGTCTGACTCTACAGTAAGGAGATAGTTTTATTTCATACAAACTAACCTGAATTTATACATTGTAACATAGCAAGAATAGTTAATAAACATAGGCTTTAGAGACAGAACTGAGGGTCCTGCATTCTAGTTTGACCACTCCCTGCCGTGTGACCTTGCATACATAATATTGAGTACTATGCCTCACTTTTCTTACTTGGGAATTGGAGGTAATACCAGTGATCTCATGAATCATCTTGAGAATTTAAATTAAATGATACATGCAAAATGCTTAGAGCACCATGCAAGTGTACAGCCAATGGTAGGTATAGAAAGTACACACAAATAATTGCTGTTGTTTTGTGGTCCTTCAGGTGTCCACTGATTTATTCCAGTATTGCTCCCAGTACTGAAAACTTTTTTTAACTTGGGAATTGCCTTCATAATTACCTAATGAAAATGATTTTCTTTCATTATTCCATGGTTTAGCTAAAAGTTATTATAAATAGCGTTATTTTTAGAATGCTTGCTGAGTGCCAAGCATTGTGGTGAGATACACATACATTGTTTTACTTAATCATCAGTTCATCTTAAGGAGTACACAGTAGGACTGTTTTACAGTTGGTGAAACTGAAACCCAGGGAAGTTACATCATCAGTTGCCCAGGCTCACTAGCAGCCTAGTGGTGGAGCCTCTCTTTGAACCATTGTGGTATACTACCTCTTTATTAATCTTGCTCCCCCAGTGACTAGAATCATCTCCTTTTCAATCTTTTTTCAGAGTAATTTTTGTTCATCTTTGTAACTTAATCACCTTGTCATGCACAAGACTTGTGAGTGGTTAGAACATAATAGGGCCCAATAAAGGAGTGGTCAGAGGATACAGGGTAGAGGTGTGGATTGGTCGAGGGAAGAGGGCTAATTTTTAACATCTCTCAGTATAGTTTGTAAGGTCTTTTTAAGTAGTTTCTTAAATTAACAAAATATTTTAAACATGCGCAAATGACCTTGTATTACCTTTTATCATTAGTCGCCTGCTGTCCTGCAGTTGGTAGTGTATATCGGTTCCATGAAATGTACAGGTAGGTACACAATACACGTATAGGGTAAATTACTTTTACTCTTTCACTGTTACAAACAGTAGAGAAATTAGATTATTGTATGTATCTGATTCCTTATTTACACATGTAAGAAGAGTTCCTCAAACACAAAAAAATATAAACTACAAAGGAAGAGAAAATAAGCAAGTATAACTCTAATCAGACTTCAGGCTCCTAAAAGTATGACAGGGTAACATGAACACAGTGAGAGAACAAGCCACTAGGAAGACGTTTGCAAACCTGTACCCAGCAAAGGACTAACACCCAGACCACACAGATTGCCTCCCATCAGTGTGTCAGGTGTTCTGCGTGTGCACATTGGATCCCAGGGGTGACATGGGCAACAGTTGCTAGCCCGAACGAATGACTCACGGTCTGATATGTTAGTATAGGAGACTTAAGGTTAAAATTTCCCCTTGTTATCATGGAATAATTTCTCTATATAATTGTATTGGTTTTTGCTGTATATATTTTGTGGCCATGTTTTTAGATGTATACCAGTGCAGAATTATTACATATTTCTGGTGAATATGTTATTATTATGTGTGACTTCTATTCCAAAATATGCACTTTGAGTAAAAATCTATTGATCTGATGTAAATAGAACGGCATTAACTTTCTTTTGGTTAATACTTATCTTGTATATTCTTTTTCAGTCTTTCACTTTCAACTTTTTTTTCCTTTTATATGTAACACCAAACCTGTTTCACTTTCCCCTTCAACAAGGTATAACTAATATAAACCTCAGCTACATTTTAATTTTTTATACAGTCTAATCTTGTCTTCATCAGCCTAGTTTGTTTGCATTTGTGGGGATTCCTGATAAATTTGAATTCATTCTTTCTTTAGTGCTTTCTATTATGATGTTTTTCCTTTGCTTTCTCCTCCCTCCCATTCTGCATTCTTTAGTGTTGCCCTTATATTCTTCATTCCCTTTTTCCTGCTTCTCTGCTGGTTTGGGAGTTACGCATTCTACTCCTGTCTTCTAGTGGTACCCTTAAAATTTTTTCTTAAATGTAACTAAAACCCTAGTTACTATTTCTGCTCTTTTCAATGCTCTGACTTTAATTGAATGCCTTAATGATGATGTCCCCTCTGTCTTACATTATCATCTAGCATTGTAGTTCTATATGATTTCTCTATCCCAAATTAAATTACTGTTATTGTTGTTCATATACTAAAGCTATTTAGTTTAATATATATTTACCATTTTCTTTGTTTATCGTTGCTTCTTGCTCCACACCTACTTCTGGGTTCACTTTTCTTTTTATCAAAGAATATGATTTCTCTTTATTTAACCCCCACACTTAGGAAAGAGAACACTGTCATGGGAAGTCACAGTTGCAGAGCTGACAATAGGCCCCACCTCTAAGTCTTTTGTCATCGTGTAGAGTTGCTATTATTACTTAAACACTGGGTCTTCCACTATTACTTAAACATTGTTATTACTTAAACAAATGGGAATTTATTAACTTATAAAGGTGGCATTTCAAATCAATGAGGGAAAGTAAATTTTATGACAAATAGTTAGCTGTGTGTGAAAAAATACAGCTAGACCTCTACTACATGTGTTCAAATCCTGACTCTGGCAGTTGTGTGACATTAGGCAATTTATTTAACTTCTCCAGGCCTTTTACCTGAAAATGAAAATGAGAATACTTACCTGATAGGATTAAATGAGGATAATACATGTCAAAGTCAGTTATTTATCCAAGATTATCACTTAATTGACTTGACTATATAAACTTAGGTTGGGGAGCAAGGCTGTAGGTGCTAAGTTAAGTGTTGAGATAGTAGAGTACCAAAGCATTACAGTTAAAATGAATGTTAGAGTATTGCCGTGGAATACGGTTTTTGTACCAGACTCAGGACTTAATGTTGCAGGCTATTTGCCAAGTATGTTGAACATATTATAGAAAAGTGTCAACTCAAGACCTTCCTAAGAAATACCAAAGTAAACTTTCAGTGTTTGAATGACTGTTACCCCATCACTTCATAATATATCTAATGAGACTTACTTTGCTGTTTTAGTCTGAATGATAAGGAAAATAAGATTTCAAATTTTAAGGTTTTATGGTTAAAGAAGAAACTTCTAGAAAGTGAAAATACTTTTTGATGATTCTCCTCCCATGTTGTTCCAGATACATTTAACTTTCTTTAAGTCTGAGAGGAGTGTTTGTTTGGATATATCCCTTGAAGTGTATTTTATGTGTATGTGTGTGTGTGTGTATTTAGCATGTTTTATATTTACCTAAGGTGGATAGGCATGTGGACCTGCTAGAAGTTGCCCAGGAAACTGATGGGTTTTCAGGAAGTGACCTAAAGGAGATGTGTCGAGATGCTGCCCTTCTCTGTGTCAGAGAATATGTTAATTCTGCATCAGAAGAAAGGTATGTATGTTTAGAGTTGATCTCTAATATTTTATCAAACCCTGATAGGGCTTTTAGGTTAGTTTCTTTTATTTTGCTTTACCATAACAACTCTGCATAAGGAATACAAGGTAAATTGGAATTAACAATCCCCAACTTTACTTATGGCCTCTTTTCTAAAGGGTGTACTGAAATGAATTGAGGAATTGGTCGTAGGGAGGGTCAGGAATGAAGAGAAAGAAACAAAAGCTGAATGCTATTGAAAATCCATAGACTGAGTCACAGAAAGCTGACAGAAATGTAGGCTTACCCATTTTTAGTAGGAAATCAGGGTTCTGTAGTACTTCTGGAATGCTTTGCATTTTAAATTCTTAAGTTCCATCTCATATGGAAATGAGTACCTTGTCACAAGTAAATGGGGTGAGGGGGTATTGCTGGGAGCTAGACTCCGACTTATTAGCAATAAAGTTTAGGCATACTTTGGTTTATTGTGCTTTGCAAATAAATTTTCCACTTTTTACAAATTGAAGATTTGTGGCAGTCCTGGGTCAAGCAGGTCTGTCGGCACCATCTTTCCAGCAGCATTTGCTCACTTTATGTATCTCTGTCACGTTTTGGTAATTCTAATATTTCAAACCTTCTCATTATTACATTTGTTACAGTGACCTGTGGTCAGTAATGATGACTTGCTGAAAGCTCAGATAGATGATGGTTAATACTTTTTAGGAATGAAGTATTTTTTAATTAAGGTGTATACATATATAGAGTGTTTTTCTTACTAGACATACTGCACACTTCATAGTGTACAGTATCGTGTAAACATAATTATTTGTACTGGGAAAACAAACAATTCGTTTGACTCCCTTTATTGCAATACTTGCTTTGTCACTATACTAGCTTTATCATGCTTTGCACTTTATGGTTATGGTCTGGAACTGAACCCACAATATCTCCAAAGTATGCCTGTACTAAACAAAGAAACTATTTACCACTGTAACAGTTCACTTGAAACCAGTTTTAAGATGTGACGAGCTTGATAAAGCCAATTTTATACCAACCTTATTCCTCCAGAAGAGCTACTAGTGAGGTGGAATAGCAGCCCTGATGAACCGTGTCCCTTAAGTTTCCCAAAAGACCACTTGCCCTGAACCAGGGTAACTGCATTTCTAAGTCCCTTTTCAAAATATTGGCCTTCTAGTGAAGAATTTCTGTGACTCTTACCAAACTGGTGTACTTTGGGGGCTTATGTTAAATAAGTTCTCTGCCTTTTGCCCCTGTGATTTTTAGTCTCCCTTCTGCTTCCCCTAGAGCTTTCACTCAGGGTCCTGAGGTTGCCTGTCATAGTCATTCATGTGTGAATTACAGTGCACTGCTGTAGCGGCCTCACCAAACAGTTTCTCCTGTTGTGGAAGGGTTTGCTTGAAAGCTATTCCGTCAGCCAGTAGCTTTGTGTGCACTAGCTCTGGACCTGCTGTAGTGCCCCCTGCGGCCCCAGCATGGAAAAGGTCACTCCATTCCTTTACTACCAGATAAAGCCAGCCTACTGTAGTGCTCAAGTTGGGAATACTTCACTAATTTTTGTAGCCAAGGATCTACCTTCCAAAGGTTTTGATTCTCATCTATAAGATGAAGAGGAGGAAAAAAAAACTATAAACAAATTTTGCTTAAATAAATTATGTTAATAATGAAAGTCCTATTTTTCTTCTGTCCTCAAAGCCCTAAAAATTTTATATTACACTGTGAAAAATCTGGCTAATAAACTTGGATTATCATAACTTTCCCCCTGAGTGTTCTTTCCTAAGTGTTCATAGATTACGAAAGAGACATTATATGTTATTGCATTTTGTTTTTCTCATTATTGAAGTGGGGAGGACTTAAGAGTGTTGGTTTCTATTAATAACAAAGAATTTTATTTTCAGTTTGTCAGAAGCTAAATATGTACATAAATATGTATGTAAGAAGGCTACTTTAAATTCCAGTTTTTATGGGAATACTTTTTGATTCCTTAATTGGAATTATAGTCTCATTTAAACTGACATACCCTCATATAACATTTTTACCTTATGATAATATTCTATACTTATATTCTTGGTGAGAAGTGTTTGATTTTAGTTACTGCAGCTATAATGCTATGGCCAGTCATTTCAGCTTCCCACCTCTTAGCAGGCATTGCTTTTAAAAGTCTTTTGAGACTTGTATAAGCATAGGTAATTCCTCGAAGAAGTAACATGAAGCCATTAATTGTGGTTGTTTTGGGGGTGTTGGATAGGGAAGAGACTTCATTTTTTAATCTTGATATTTTAGGAAGTTGTATTCTAAAATTGTTTGAATCTTTAGTGGTTTTGTTTTCATTTTAGCCATGATGAAGATGAAATTCGGCCTGTGCAACAACAGGACCTGCATCGGGCAATTGAAAAGATGAAGAAATCAAAGGATGCAGCATTTCAGAATGTTTTGACACATGTTTGTTTAGATTAAGAGTAAAGATCATTTGTGCAGTTGAGTGTGATCTGGTGTGGTGTACCCTCTTATACTGGGAATAGAAAAGAAGGGAAGGGGAATGGTCAGTAAAAAGGGAGGGTGTTAAATGTTTATGACACGGGTTTTATACTCTGAATTCTAAGTTATTGAGATATAGTTGTTATATAAATGGTATTACTACTTGTCAAAAATCATGAGGAGGAACAGTGTAATCCAGCCTGAGTGTGGGTGCTTGTGTTTGACCTCTTTAGCCATACATTGCAGCCTTATAGCATCTAAGCTGGTCTTAAAGTAGCAAATAATTCATGGAATCATTAGTGAGAAATGGGATGTGGTTAAGTGCTGGTTTCTAGATATGTGAGTGTATGTATGTGTATATTAAATGTATATATTCACTCATTTTATATTGATATTCTGTAGATATGTTTGAAAACAGAAACTTTTTTTTATCCCAACTCGACTACTGAATCAGAAAGTACCAAATACTATATAGCGAAACTGAGATTTATGGTTGTGTCTAAAAGGTACCGTGATTCAGCCATTTCCACTTGTCATCGCTTTTTTTTAAGTTGAGCGTTTCTCTGCAGTCTAATCAGTCACATCTGAATACTTAGACATGGCTCTGTTATTATGGTTGTTAGAATAATCAAATAAAAATACTTGTTCAGTGATAAGCATCAAAGAATTGTCAGGCACTGTGTGAGCAACACTGATTTCCCCTCTTCCTGTAAGCACACTGAGTAGACATTTTTTAAATTGGTATAAAGGTGGACTGAAAGTCTTTCAGAAGAATGCTTTGAAAAACTCCAGTGCCATTCAATACATGTATGTGACTTTTCTTCATTTAATGTAACAGTTCTGTTGTAACCATGGTTTTGTAATGTTATTTTAAAGTTGTATGTTCTTTAATTATGATCAAATATAACTTGGTCGCCAAAAATGAAGTGATAGTGTAAAACAAGTAGCTGTTATTAAATGTGTTAAGAATACTCATTTTTTATAACTTAAATTTTTAAAGTTTTCTTAGCATATTATTGTGCTCTAGTTAGTACAAATATACACCTCAAAATTCCCAAATTGTATTTGTAGCCATTTGATGCTATGTGCATTACGTATGAAACAATTTTTGTCCAAAATTTCACTAACCAAAATTCTGTTGTAGGCACTTAAACACACAGCATAAGGGACATGTCACAATCTGGTCTTGAGGTGCCTTCTGTGAATAAGCAGAAAGATTAAATTATGCTTCATGTATTTTTGTTTTTATTGTATTTTTTGAAGATTATTAGTCTCTATTCATGAGGTTATTGGATAATTTCTTTGGTAATAAGTCACTAGAACCTCCTGGATAGCTTATTCAGTTGAGCTTGGAGATGGGGTAGAGGTTGCAGGAGAACAATCGGGGTAACAAAAGGCAAGTTATAAGATGTGCAGATTGAAAATTGAATGCAAAACAACAAAAATAAAATTTTTTGTCTCCATTTTTAATAATGAAGATTATGCTATTATTTTATAAATGTGTAATAAAGAGGTCTCTTTACTGATTTTTCTCTACTCGGTCTTTTTCAGTAATATAAAATTTTCTGGGCCATTTTCAGTTTACAAAACTTACCCTTAGACTGCATTTATCTTGCTGTGTAGCTTTCACACTTGTAGGAAAAAAGATACATTCTCATATCTGATCATTATTTTGTGTTAGTGTGAATCTCAGTAACCATTTAATCTAATGGCAAATCGGAAAATTAAGGGTGATACGTTCTTCCTCATGTACTTTGTTTTTACTTCTCTTAAATTCGGTATCTAATAGTAGTATTCAGTTTATCATGGTAATCATCAAATGAAGTTAGAGAAATACATGAATCCCAGCAGTCATGACTAACCTAGGCATCTTAAAACCGTAAAGCAATTAGGGAGGCTTTATTATATGATTTCTAAGAACTTTTGGTGCTATATTATCTGTCCTTCCGCTGTAGACATGCATTTGACATATGTAGTTGGATTCCAGGTTCTAAGGGCATGTATCTTCATTTCCAGTGGCAGTGGTACGAGTACTGGATCTAGAGTTAGACTGCCTGAGTTTAAATCCAGGCTCCCCACTAATTAGTGTATCCTTGGACTAGGTACTTCTCTGAGCCTGTTTCTCATTTAAAAAATGGCATGACAGTGGCACCTACCTTGCAGGGTTGTGTAGTGAAGTGGTACACTTAGAACAGTGCCTGACACAGTTACTGCTCAAAATGTTAGCTGTCACATTATTAGTTTTGTTACTTTTACACACTGATGTACATATCTCTTGACCAGGCTGAATTTTTTTAGCATTCTCCATTCTTAGGCTATTTCCATAATCCCTAGATCTGTATTCTAGGAATTGAGATAGAAACGGTCATCTGTGTGATGTTTCTCTAAAAGCCTCCATGTTGGAAGAGTTCCTATAAGTTT